TTCATCTGCGCAGCATTGATTTCATGGGATTCAAGGGTGTGATCAGTGACAGATGTACAGGTACAGGTACTGTAGCTACTTGAACCAGTGATGAGTAATTTAACCTACCTTTGTCTTGATTTTTCCCTCTCTCCTCCTCTATTTCTTCTTTCCTTACCCATTTTTTTTCTTCTCTATTATGTGATTTCATTGATGTTTTGAAAGGGGAATTTCTTTGATAAGCTTTTAGTGGCTTCTAACCTCTCCGGCACTTTTCTTTTTGTAATCTTGTAAATTTTATACTGTCTGTTTTTAATATTATGTGCAAATAAACTAATCTAAACTAAAACTAAACATTATTCATCCCGGTTTCCTCCTCCTGCAGCTGCCACGGTGTTGGCCTTTTCTGTAATGTTGCTTTTCTCCTCCTCATATTTTAGTAGAATTAATCTCTGATCCTCACGAGAAATACTTTTTTTTCCCCTCACATACGGCACTCTGTGAGGACACTCAGTGACGCTCAGTGACGCTGCGCTTCTCTCATGATTGTGATTGGTCCGCTGCGTGCGTGTTCATGGCTCTTGATAAAGCAACCCTGGGTTGAGTTACCGAGTTGATATCCAGCGTCGTGATACCGATTATCCTGACTGCCACTGTTAGGGTTAGTCAACCCAGGATAGGTCTGGGTAACCCAGGAAAGGTTGACCTCGCTTCGTGATACAGGCCCCTGTTCCCTATACTGATGACTCATTCTAAAGCAAGGAAAACACAGCCATTCTTATTTTCAATATACACTAAGAAAACAATAGGCTTACTCCTGCTTGAGGTGGCTGTGAGTGTTTGTAAAACAACAGTTATTAGCAGCTTTGATTTACAACAGCTACAAAAGACTCCAGTAGGTTACAGTATTCATTGTGAGGAAGAAAGAAACAAAAATTCTGAACTTATGCACCTCTCCAGACCCCGTCTATATGCTATGAAGCCACTGAAGTCCTGACAGGCGATATTTTTTTTATGTTGTGTTCACAAGTTAATTATTTGCAAACAAAGTGACAACTTGTTCCCACAAGACAAATAAACCTGTGCGCACAAAATAAAAACTATTACCTTTTGGACCCATAACATGCTGGTATGTATGAAATATGACTTTCTGCCAAAATATGACTTAATGGCTTTGTCTCAATCCTCATATATGATCCATTCAAGTTTATGAGCAGGAACATGCATTGTACGAACATACACCAAACACAAGCAGTGTTGTGTTGCTACAAGTACTGCTAAAATGGATTGTGAAGATGAAATACAAACCAGGAAGTGCAGTTCATGTAAATCTCAGTAAGGATTTTATAACTCTTGAAAGTTAATGTCTACAGTAAAATTTGTTCTTCGATCTAACTTTTTGTAAGGAGAACAGTAGAGGAGTCACAATGCTGCACAGTGTGTGCAAGAAGGTGTTGTATGTGCGGTTTTTGGAATTCACTCCAATCAAAATAAACTTAAGGTGACTCCAGCCTCTGCTTTCCATGAAGGCTGAAACTGAAAATGTGGTACAGCCAACTTCCAAGTCTGCAGGGGTGTTTGTCATTTAAGCATCAAATATTTGGTAGGGTTTAAAATGTGCATACTTGCATGCATTTCTATAACAACTCACAATTATCTACCAACTTTAATCAAATTAATTTCTGCAAGTTAATTTATGGCTTAAAATCCAATACATGATTAGAAGAAACAAAAAAATAAGATATTTATATAGTTTTGATCTGACTCGTTGGTTGAAACTTAATAAAGAAAGTTGATTACCATTACTATTGTTACAGAAATGACTGACACTTATAAACATTGTTACATTAATACAAAAGGGACTCTGTCTAGACCTGCTGTCCCCTAAAAATTAAACACTCTTACTTGGAAGGATGGAGATAAATCAAAAGATTAAAATGAAATGTACCAACTATTAAAGATTTCTGGTGAAAACAGTAATATAGAAATTACCTCCCTTTATAACCAGGTGCAATTTTTCAGTTATGGTAAATAAATATCTGTGTCTGGATGTGTTACCTTCAACAGAAGCTCCCTCATTAGGCTTCGTATATCCCTGCCCTTTAGTAATAATGCGACGGATGATTCCTCCATCTTCTTCATCAGTGATGTCCTCACCATGAAATTCAAACAGTTCCACCTACAAGTGTGCAGAAGTGTTTATTAATATCTTTTTTTACACCCTTACAGGATCATGGCAAACTGTATTTCAACCACAAACCAGGGAATACAGTTTGAAGTGTAAATGATAATCAAAACATGATATCACTGATGCTTACCTCAAAAACAAGAGTGGCACTGGGGGGTATCTTGGGTGGACTGCCTGCACATCCATAGGCATATTCTGGTTTACAGATGAGCTGGCACAGCTCCCCTATTTTCATCGTCCCTACGCCGATGTCCCATGCCTTTATTACTTGCCCTAAACACAAAGAAGACTGATTACCAACACTGGCTGTGCAACTTTGACAGAGGAGCGTTCATGTCTCTGCTAGACATACGATCCTGAAACCCATCGGATATCGTTGTAACGTCTGCATACTTATGCAGATGTCTGTTTAGAGAGATTACTAGATAGGAAACCAACCTTTGCCCAGTTCGAAGGAAAACTTCTCTCCTCTGTCTCTGCTTGAGTCGAAATGAGTACCGTCTAGAAGTGTGCCCACATAATGTACAAACACTTTGTCGCCGGTCATAGGCAGTTCTGTGCCCGTGCCTTCCCTTTTCACAAGCTGGAAAAACAGACAGCAATAGGAGAACTTATCAAAAACAGTAGGTGGTTTACAAAGCCATCACATACAAAGTCAAATGTGTTACCTGTATTCTCCTGGCAGTTTTGTACTGTGCATCATAAGAGGAAACGCTGCCCAATCCTTGTGAATGAATATGAGCTTTAACAGTAAACCCTCATGTGCATGCATGAGTAAATGTTAAATGCCTCTATCAGCATTAATAGCTTTTGCATTTCATATCTCTCCGAAATAAGCAATATATAACACGAAGAGAACATAAAATGAAACTATATGCTTTAAGTGAACCATAAATACAAAAAAAACAGTGGCAACTACAAGCAAACTAAAACGACCAGCTAAAATACAACCTGATATTGGCATACAGCTGCAGAACAACAAAATTCCCGGAGCAGTGCTTTCAAACAGCCTAGAGGAACCAATGAGTGCAACTTTAAGTCCTTCTGCAGAAGATTGCTCATGTATGGAGCTGCATACATAAAAGCTCTTTTGCCAAACTGTATGTGCCATAGGCACAGACTATAAAAAAATGCCCATACCCACCCTGTGCAGGGTGGGTATGGGCATTTCAATGTTTTGCTTAATGTACACACATAAATATGATGGAAAAAGGCCAGTAAGAGCCATGAAAATAAGAGAATGCCAATTAAAAAGTCTACAAAATTTTAAAGACACTGAACTCAAGCATACAGGATACTATGATCAGTAAGGGGCTTACAGCTGATAATAGATCTCAATGCACCATGATAAGCTAGAGTCCAGAGCATGCAACACTGGGACGGTGCATTCATAAACAAGCACAGTTAAAATGCAGCAAAGACCAGTCATTTTTGGCCAGGAAAGAAACACAGTTTCTATTTCTGAATACACACCCAGTTTCAGGTTAAGCCTTTTCACATGTAGTTCAATATGTGGCGTCAAAGAAAGACAATCGTCTGACACAATGGCCAGGTATATATTACATTAAACACTCTTTATGCTCTTGTTCTGATGTGTAACAATAGTTGGCACATTTTAAAGCTTAGCCCTGGCTCATGTGGATAACATGCACTTTGTTTTATGAACATTCAGGACGAGCTTCATATTGAATTGTTATTATCCATGTCATTGACACCCTGGCGTTGCCTGGGAAGCTGACGAATCTGCGAGCTCATGTTTTATTTGCTTTGGCTCATACTTATAATTCGCAATACGGATTTGGTATAGCGACCTAAAGCTCACCCTAGGAGCAGGTTAGCTATGAAAGCAATGGTAGGAAACGAGATGATTGGTGTTACAGTGTTGTCAACATTGTAGCTTGCATATAAGCTGCTTTATTGACAGCGCACGCGATAGCCTAGCTAGCAACAGCTAGCGTTAGCCTATCCTTATGAGTAAACAACAAGCAGCCAGCTAACAGCTACGCTAGCTGGATTGATACACACAACCAAACACAATCACTTGCCTTTAAAACGCCCCCGTCTTTCTTTGGTGTGATGTCCTCTCCTTCCATTGGGATGGTGTGTTGTCCTTCACTTGTCTGTTCCTCTGCAGTCATTGTCATAAAGCAGATTTAACCTCCTGCTCCTCTGACCTGCACCACAATTACACTTGTTTTTAAGCAGCGGTGGTGGCTAAAGCTAGCTAGCGTACTTACTTCACAAACCAAGCCAAGTGCAGCAAGAAACAACCAAACTAACGTCGACGCTAACGTTAGCTAGCTAACTAACGTTGCTTAAAGCTCCTCGCTAGCCTTACTTACTTGTGAATGCTAATGTAAATGCAACACACGTTACAGCTTAACTAGCTGCAATGAGACCGTGCTGCCGTTGTACGCCGGACACACTATCCACGCAGAGTGTGCGCTTTCGGTTATGAAGCTTCAGGTCCACGTTGTCTGGCAGTCTGGCAGTCTGGCATCTGACAGGCGATTCAAGAAGGGCAGAGAATTTTCCAGACACTCAAGAGGAACAGGGGATGAACCCGTGTTAGTGGCGCCACTTATGGTTACACGCATCTCCAACAAGGGCGATGCACTTACAGAGACCACAGCAAAGGCTCAATTCACAACTATAGCATGCCATGACGTAAGTATTTAATACTTAACCTAATTAAACATCCTGTAATTACCAAATAGTAGCACGTTTAAGGAATAAAATATGCTATATTTGTACATAGCCCCGCCCGCGCAAGCACTGCAGTATATTAAAACAAGCACCCTTTAGTGTATCTTGCTCCCTATTGGTTAGATCCTGTCAGCTTCCCTCCCCACTGCTGTGTGTTGGCGCGGGAGTTGAATGTAATGACACAAAATAAAGCTAGTTTTTGAAGGATATCTGCGGGTAAGTAGCTTTTATATATCTCATATATCATCTCTGTAAGGTTTACGATCAGCAGTATGTATAAAACGTCAGCTAATAAACGGATTTCGGATGTTTGAGGCAGCTAGCGATAAAGTTCGCAGTGACAACATCAGATTTTAGCTGCTTGACACAACATGTAGGCGAAGTGTAGCTCTTAAGTTGACAGATGAGTTACATTAATGTGGTAATTTGAGGTGATGGAGTAAAATGAGGCAACCTGAATCGGAAATTCGTCATGACTTTGATAAGATTGACTGTCTGGGTGCCTCATGTTAGACACAATAACATCACTATCAGGAGCTGCTAATGCAAGCCAGTCTAAACACACCGTGTGGGCTGTTCAGCTGATGAAGGGGCTCATTTCATGATGATCATATCTGAACTGAAAGGTTTGATCTAATTATAAACCCATATCATCAGCCAGGAAGGTGCACCAGCATGGAGAGTGGTGGAAGAAGTCAATTTCCATTTCCCTACCAGCCCTATCACATCCAGGAGCAGTTCATGCAGGCCCTGTACACTGCACTCGACCAGGGCAAAGTTGGGATCTTTGAAAGTCCAACTGGGACGGTGTGTATGTGTGCATGCATATAAGAGACATCAAAGCAGAAGCCTTTAGATTTTATTGATGATTTTGTGTTTTCAACATGTCTGTCCCTTACCCCAGGGCAAGTCTCTGAGTCTGATATGTGGAGCGCTGAGTTGGCTCACTGACTATGAGGAGAAGAAGAGGCAGGAGGCAGCTGCTCTGCTGCATGAAGGAGAAGTAGCTCTGTCCACGTCGACTGCACAGTCCTCCACCACCAGCTCCTCGGCAGAGCCTGACTGGATCACTGATTTTGTGCAGAAAAAGGCAGAGCGTGATTTGGTATCGAAGTTGAAGGTGAGGATTACAGCAGGTTACAGTAAAGAAGTAAACGCAGCTTGGCTCTGATGGTTGGTAGGAAAGGTATATGTACAAAAACAAAGTCCAGGAAGTCTCCATTTATGAAATAATCTCATATATTTATTCTTCAAGCACAGGCAATCTAACAAACCAACGCAAATCGACTAAAGTTCATTTGAGACCTCCTGGATTTTTTTATTTTATTTTTTGAAGGCATTTGGTTTGAAGAAAGGTATTCACACATCCAACTGTCTCAGATGCAGGTGTGTTGAAAAATATCACTTGAGTCTTTGAACAGAAAAGACTGTTCAACCTTGAACACTCTTGACAATTTTTTGAAGGCAAGAATGTCAGTGTATTTCAGATGTGACCTTGGTGTGGATCTCTGGGACTTCATCTTCTCACCTACTCAGGTTTTGAATATTATTGGTTGTTTTTTCTTGTGTCAGGAGGAAGAATTAAAAAGAAAGAAGAGGGAGGAACGATTAGAAATGATCAGGAACAACATTCAACTAAAGTATGCGATGAAAAGAAAAGTAAGTAACCTCGCACAGTGGCATTTTAAAGAGCCAAGGCATCAGAAATTTACCCAAAAATCACTGCAAGCTGAGTCTCTACAGCTCAGTACATGAATATCTGTGAATGTGTCTGAAGAGTGGTGAAGAAGATGAGGCATTCAAATTGCTGCAGCTCAGTAAAGAGGAAATAACTGAGACAAAAGGGGACCAAGAGGACGAGGACCTTATCATCGAAGAATATGAGAGTGATGATGAGTTTAAGACCAAGAGCAGGTGAGGGCGGCTGCTGATTGGTTAGCAGTGACATCAGATGTTCTATCATGGTGACAGACAATGACAGCATGGTGTGTTTGCTCTCATGCTCAGATTTTGTGGCGCTGAGGACGACACAGACGACGACCTGGTTGAAGAACATGTCACTAAGGTGTGCGAGAGAGACATTGCAAATATAAAGATGAGTGTCGCACATTAACCTGAAGTAACCCTGTATACATACGCATAATTTTAGATTTACTACTGCAGTCGCACCCACTCCCAGCTGGCCCAATTTGTCCATGAGGTTCAAAAGAGCCCGTTCAGCAAAGACATCAGTCTGGTCACACTGGGCTCACGGCAGGTATGTGCACACACACACTGTGATGGAAACACTCAGGAAATAAAAACACAAAGCATTTGATGATGTTGTATGCAGTATATTTTGGACAGATTATGCCTGACTACCCTCCTCCCTCTCTCTCTCTGAGAAGAAAGACAGAAGTTATTTATAGGTACAGCAGAACACAGAAGTCTTACAGGATTGGTTCTCCACTGCTTACATAAGTCACTGACCTTTCCCAAAACAGCAGATACAACAAGCTTAACCCCAAAAAGGCAAATGCCACACATCCTTCATCATCATGCTTGCATCATTTAAAGTGACCCACCATAGGCTACATGTGTCAGTTTCCATAAAGCCCTGACGCTGGTGCTGATTTATAGCTCCTAAAAAAAGACAGAGGTCAGAGTTCAGTGCTGTTACCAGTACACACCAGGACACATGTGTAAGTCACTCTGACAGAACAGGGCTATCAATATACAAGTTAAGGACATGGCATCAAATGATAACTGGGATAACTATTAATGTTAATATACTTTTACAACACAAAGACTGCCAGCACAAGGGTTAGATTTTAGTCTATGTGGTTAAATCTCATCTTTAGTGTTCGTTTAACGTATATAGTAATCACTTTTTTGTTTTGCTTTGTAAAAAGAAAACAGCTAATAAATTCATTCATTCATTTTCTGTAAACGCTTATCCTGTTGAGAGTCATGGGGGGGCTGGATCCTATCCCAGCTGACGTTGGGCGAGAGGCGAGGTACACCCTGGACAGGTCAACAGACTAGCGCAGGGCTAACATATAGAGACAGGCAACCATTCACACTCACATTGACACCTACGGGAAATTTAGAGTCACCAATTAACCTGCATGTCTTTGGACTGAGGGAGGAAGCCGGAGCAATCTGAGAAAACCTACGCTGACGCAGGGAGAACATGCAAAGTTCACACATGAGGGCTCCCCCACCTTTAGGTTTATATTTCTTATACTTCATATAAAAAATATAAACCTACATTGACCCTTTTCTATAGTTAATGTTTACATTTTTGGACAGGATGCAGTGTTGTAACTGCTATTTATTAATATCTGCACAGATCTATATAGCTATATAATGTTAGATCTGTGCAGCTGCACATAATGTTCAACATTTTCAGCCAGATATTGCTCGATCTAATGTTACAGGCAGAATGGTGACCAGACATTTGCATGATGTTTGGGAATATATCAACAAAATAAACCAAATATATGTGCAGTGTGATTTATGTAACGTTAAACTTGCCTATCATAGCTAATCTTGATGATCCCTACTCTTACATTTTGGCTTTGGTGTTCATTTCGGATCCTTTTCTTACATAAGATTTTTTTTTCAGTGAGTACTGTGGTATTTGACAGTAATTTAATGCAAGTATTTGAATATTGAAATCACTGAAAATGCTCATCTCTTTCTTAGAGCTAAGTGACGTGTTTCAGTCTGAGTGGAAAGCTTTGCGTTTATGTTGTCTGCTACAGGCTTCAAGAATGATCTAGACTGTCTAATCTGTTTCTACGTAGTAGGAGCAGGCTGTTTTCAATTGAACACATTTCAGAATTTCTCAAGTAATTTACACCTTTACTAGATTTTCCTCATGAAGGATAATCACAAAAATAATGTCACTTCATGGCAAAGATCTAAATTAAAATATAGCTTATTACATCTGCATTTCTGTCCGCCCCACACAAAGCTTGGAATCAAACAGGAACTGTTTCCTGTATTCAGTCGGTAAAACAGGATTACAAATGTTGACATCTGATGGTATTTACCCAGTAAACATAAAACTGTGTACTCTCCAGAATCTGTGTATCAACGAGGAGGTGCGTCGCCTGGGCAGCATCCAGCGCATTAACGACCGCTGCATGGAGATGCAGAAAAACAAACATGGTGAGAACCCCTCACACACCAGCTCCACAGCTACCAATCTCACAGGAGAACATGGCCAGATTGCTCCAAACTTGTTAGAGATTTGCAATTTTTAAACATTTATTTTACCTTTATGTGAAGCAGGAAAGCTTTTTCAGGAGTATCCTGGTCTAAGATAGGCAGCAATAATGAGTCACGGATAAACAACATTAGACAACACAACACATTATAGAATTATGAATGAATGTTTCTAATGCAGCAAGATTTCCCATAACCCAAGAGCTGTCTCAAAACATACACATAAATAGGACCAGTTTTGCTTACAGTGCTGCCTCTTCTACCGTTTGTAGAGAAGCCGCATCAAGAAGAGGGTGCAAAACGTAAGCGAGGCCCAGCGAAGAGTGTGTGTCCCTATCACAAATCCTCAGCAATGCAGCAGATGAAAGACGAGATTCTGGGGACAGTCCACGATATAGAGCAGATGCTGAAGCAAGGCAGAGAAACACATGCATGTCCTTACTATACCACACGGCTCGCTGTTCCCCCTGCACAGGTATCACTCTCCTCTTTGTACTCAGTTCATTAAATCCTGTATCTTATTACTCTGGTGATAATTTGGTTGCTGCACTGCTTTCCTCAAAGTATTTTTATTTATTCATGAGCTTTTTGTGAGCAGATTGAAGTTTTAGTGTTAATCTGTATGGTGTGTGTTTACTGTGTCTGCACAGTTGGTGGTGTTGCCCTATCAGATGTTGCTGCATGAAGCTACAAGGAAGGCCGCAGGGGTCCAGCTGCAGGGGCAGGTAGGATTAGTTGTTATTTTTGTTTCTCTCTCAGGTTTCTCTGTTCAGCAACTGTCAGCATTTGAAATGCCCAGGTGATGGTAAAAACACAATGTTTCAGAAGTAGTTTAACAGCTGGCACAGTGTAATATTATTTCTAAACAAAAACATAAATACACAATGATTGTGGGGAATTTGAGGTCCTTAACAAGTCTTAAAATGTCAGAGAAAGTCTTAAAATGTACACATTTAATAAAAAATAAAAACATTAAATTGTCTTAACTCAGATTTGATGGGTCTTAAATGTTTTGTAATCAAGTCACTGCAAATATTTCTGGTGTTGGCGCTATGCGAAACATCATTTTAACAGGAGGGAAACAGACTTCGACGCAATACCTATATGCACAAAATACCCCTATTTTCACCACCTCTGCACATTTAGATGAGTCCACTTTGTTAAACTAAGGCCTTACCAGCCAGCCTGCTCGATTTTTTTCGGCACAGAGTAGTGAGCACAGAGAGTAACATCTGTGTCATTTTACCTTAGTGTTAATTTTGAACTGACATCATGTGTCAACCAATAAACAACCAATAATATCAAGTCTCAAATCGAACTTGTCTATACCTGTAGATACCCTGATGATTAATATATATATGTATTTTTACAGGTGGTGATCATAGATGAAGCTCACAATCTTAGCGACACACTCTCCTGTATACACAGTGCAGAGCTCACTGGAGCACAGGTAAACACATTAATACACATGTACAAAACATAGGTTTAAATCACGTCACATTCTTAGCAATATACTGAATTGTAAATCTTCTACAGCTTTGCCGCGCCCACTCGCAGCTCACCCAGTATGCCGACCGCTATAAGTGAGTCCACAGTCTCAAATGATGTGCTTACTCACAAATTAAATATTGTCTCACCCTCTTAATGCTTCATGTTTATGTTTCTTCATCAGGAGCAGGCTGAAGGCAAAGAACCTCATGTACATCAAACAGATTCTGTTTGTGATTGAGGGGCTTGTCAAGGCACTGGGAGGTGAGCATGTTTGGGCTAACGTTATTTTTAAATTATTGATTATGGGGAAAATTTCCAATTATGACGTTAATGTTCTCTTTGCAGGTAAGGTGGGGCAGAATCCACAGAGCCAGGCTACACAAACAGGTCAGCGAATAATACACACACATAAACACACGCTAATACACTTCTAAGGAGAAATTGTTAACCAGTCGTGTTTCTTTATCTTTCAGGAACTGAGATGCTCACTATTAATAACTTCCTCTTCAAGGCTCAGATCGACAATATTAACTTGTTTAAGGTAGTTAAAAGTGTTATAATGCTGTTAAAAATCACAGTCCTGGCTTTTAAACACCTTATTTAAACTTCAAACTTCTTTTAATGTCATTCTCACTGCAGTTACAGAAATACTTTGAGAAGAGCATGATCAGCAGAAAAGTAAGTGTGTAATGTCTATGCATTGATTTATGCCTTACATGAATATTGAGTGATCTACTGTGAAATGATCCCATGAATACCAAACGTGTCTTCTGTCTGCAGCTGAGTGGCTTTGTGGAGAAGTACGCAGGATCAGGTGTGAGTGTGCACACCCAGAGCAGCTCCAACAAGGAGAACCGACGCACAGAGGGCTTAAACCGTTACCTTCAAACACTGCAGAGCAACCAGAGCACTGCACCAGGTCAGAGGGCTGATTTTATGTCACCTAGAAATTAAAAACAAATTTTGGAGATCATCACTGCAGACATGTGGCATTACTGTAGCAACATATAAAAATAATTAAGGAAATGGGAACCTGTTCAGTAAAAGCTTGAACTGCTTGATTTCAGAATGATTTTGCTGTCACACAACTATGTTGTGAACAGTGTAAGGAGTACCAATTTACAAAATAACATATAACTGCAATTCCACTACTTTTGGTGGTAATTGGACATGTAAATAGACATGTGAATAATTACAAATTTAAAGTAACCATATAATAATGCAGTAAAAATTACTGAAATGTGAATGGGCACATTACTTGTTACTTTTGTCAGCCTATTCACTAGATTTTTTCCTGGTTATGAGCTGTAGTGATGCGCTATTCAGGTGAGCAGAGCTGAAGTCCGTCTGTCTTAAGTTTGTGCGTGTTTAAGGGAGAAAGAGACAGAGGAAAGGGAGAGAAAGTGGATGGTGGACTATTGCAGGCAATGTTATTCAGAACAGTGCAGGACCTGCCATTCGACCAGCACATCACAAGTCACCCGACTTTACAGCGGCGCAATAAGTAGCGTGGATGATTCAGTCAGTCAATAAGCATTAGACTGTCACTGCACATAGTGACCCACAGTTCAGGCAATTTGAGCTCGCTGTTCTGAAAATACTTCAATTCAATTTTATTTATAAAGCCCAATATGACAAATCACAATTTGCCTCAGAGGGCTTTACAGCATACAGCATCCCTCTGCCCTTGGATCCTCACAGCGGGTAAGAAAAATGCAATAGATGTTGTGTGTACAGAACAGGTCAACATAATAGATGTACAGTGATGTAAATATGACAAAATGATAGACCTGAAATATGGACATATTGAGATCCTCCAGTCCTTCCTTGAGATCATGAACAGATGAGGCCTGTAGTGGAGAGTTTTAGTCTCTGTGCAGGATTTGAATTACCGCTAACAGGGTTCCCACTGTCATGGAAAACCTGGAGAAGTCATTAAATTTCACAATCTCATTTTCCAGGCCTGGAAAAGTCATGAAATTAGTAAAAAAAAAAAAACATTGAAAGTTATGGAAAACTCATGGAATTTTGTTGTGTCAAGTTAGGGCTGCACCATATATTGTTTCAGCACTGACATTGTGGTGCACAGTACTTGTATCGAAGGATGTGCAGTGTCAAGTAAGGCAAATAAACTCAAACTATCTGATGCTTGATAATCATGGAAAACTTACAGTCGTCATTTTCCGTGACTTATACCAGCCAAGACTTCCACTTTAAGATGTTACATGTATACATAGCGTGGTGTGGCGGCGTTTGTAATGGGACTCTCCTGCATGGGTGTGAGAAAAGCACCGTAACCAGGCCGGCAGCTGCAGCAGACACAGTGAAGTGCATGCTTCTCCATAATGAAAATTTTATGATAGGTTCTTGAAAAGTCATGGAAAAGTTTTGAAACTTTGTCCATGAATATGTATGGGAAGCCTGTGTTGAGTTTAAAGGACAAACCTCTGTGTGTGTTTATGTGTTTTGTAAATAACAATTTTATTAAATTTATTCATTATTCAATTTTACTTCATTAGTTCTATCATAATAAGAAATTTCTGCCAAATATCTGAGAAACAATTATTTTATTTTAGCCAACTTTTGACTTACACTGCTTATTTTTCATCATAGTGATAATGGGTACGATCATAGATAAGATTCAACAGCTGTCTTGTCCCACACTTTGCCACAGCAACACAAAAGTAATGTATTCCTGTGTGCATTAATGAGATAATTGAAGTAGATTTTTATAAGTAACAGGAAAGTTACTTTTCCTAGTGGCTTATTACTTTTATATGCAGCTGGTAGAGTAATTCAATTACTTCAAGAGAAGTAACTAATCACTAAGTCCACTGTGCAGACACTACCCACAGTAAAACCGCTACTATAAAAATATCCCGCATTATCTTATTTGTAAAGTGCACATGCAGAAGAATTATGTACGTTGTTATCAGACGAGCAAGTTGTTAAACAGAGGACATCTAGTGCTGTTTTGGGTAGAGCTGGATCTAAGATGCATGTGTAAATATTAGTGTTATTTTCACACCATGCCCCTGCACCTCACATCCAGCCATTTCTCACACTCCACCATTTTGCAGTCAGCAGACACTGAACAATGTTGCATTCCTCTGGTGGTTCATTATGATTTATCTGTTCTTTGTGCTCCCATGTGTGCAGTTTCCTCAGCAGACCAGCAGGGGTCAGAGGCAGAGAAAGCGCTGTCTACATCTCCCATGATGCAGGTGGAGGGTTTCTTCATGGCTCTCACCAACAGCAACACTGACGGCAGGGTGGTGGTGCACAGACAAGGTGAGGTTTTAAAAAACACAACTCAAAATAAAGGACAGTAATGAAGTCAAAGTGTTATAAACACCCTCTCTCTTTCATGTCCAGGTACTTTGTCAGAGAGCAGTGTCAAGTTCCTGCTGTTGAATCCAGCCGTCCACTTTGCCCAGGTGCTGAAGCAGTGAAGGGCTGTCATCATCGCAGGAGGAACCATGCAGCCTGTAAGTTATTTTAAATCCCGCTTAAAATAAACTCAGACTTTTTTTTTTTTGCTGTGTGAGTTTTCTCATTCTGAAAGATGTGATATGTAGGTTTCAGACTTCAAACAAGAGCTACTGTTTTCCGCCGGAGTGGGAGAGGAGCGCATCACGGAGTTTTCCTGTGGTGAGTGGCCCATTTTTATAACACCGCAGTACTTTGTGGAGTTTCTCTTTTTGTGCCTTTATAACGCACTCTCTCTCTCTCAGTGAAGTGTTTATCAATATTTCTGTGTGGGGGAGTTTTTGATGAATAATATATTGCTTGACAAAAACTCAAATAACAACCGATTCTTTTAGCGTGACTGCTAATTTTCAGCTGGGGTGACGAGATAAAGATGATAAAAAAGATGCCATCATATGGACTAAACTTTAAATTATTCGTCCATTCACTGTATACATAGAGACCCTATATTAAGGATTGTTTGATCATAAGTCTCCTGAAAAACAGTTTCTGTGCTGAAAAGCAGAGTAAATTGTATCTGGTTCACCATCTGACTCTCATAATGTTCCTATTGTTATTTGGGCTGCACAATTAATTGAAATATTATCGAAATTATAACATGAACGAGTGTGGTATCCAAATCAAAGGAGCTGTAGTCTTTTATTTTGCTTATCGTGCAGCCATGATTGTTAACCATAATGAAAAAATCAAGCAGGTATTGTCCTACATGTGCCTGGGGGTAATGAGGGACCATTTATTATCTTGAAAGACCACATTGAATCTGTCAGCAGAAAGACAACACAAAGTCTTTTGGTGCAAATTTCAAAAGAATTCCTTTGTTTTTTACGTCTGTGATTATGAGTGTTCTCCAGTATTGTAACACTACATGGTTCAAGTGTCTGTCCTCCACTTTGAATTAAAAGTGCTCCACCAAATCAGAAATCTGCTCAAAGATTGTAGGTCAACTCCTGGAGAGACTTACTGAAGCAGACTAACACTACAACATATTAAGGCAGGCCAATAACTCAGTCCCTGACCCCAATCATGTCCTGAACAGTGAATATGAGTTGCTCCTACTAAACTGAAGATGCAGGGTGCCATGTTTTAATAAGGTTAAACTGAAGCACTGGTTTGTGCACTGGTCAATCCTAAAACTAAATATGGAGCTTAATCACAGATCAAATGCACATTGAAGGGTCTGGAATGTTGTTAGATGTATGCATATTTGCAAATGGAGCGTCTGTGAGGAAAGAAAAATGTCTGACTTGAGCTGACAATAAATGTATCATAATCATCTGTGGCACTGGCACGTACTACAACTGTTTTCTCTGTACAGATGGAACAGTTTAAGATTTTATTGTGGATCGTGATTAAAAAAAACACTATTAGTTGATTTTAGCACATTTCCATCCTAGTATAATCCTGAAAATTGCGTCTAGCAGCACCCTGAGAGACTGCTGGGCAACCACAAATAAAATAGACTGCAAAAACAGGCTGCATACGCACCAACCTCAAACATTGCAAAAGATCTTAATCAAGCGTTGGCATTTCAAAAGAGATGCCGCCATTTCAAATAGTTGAAAAGCCTGGCTTTTAAAGATTTTTTTTCTACTAAAAATGATCATTAACAAAAAAAAGTTGTGCCCTTTTTGTGTGTCTTATTCATTTGTGATGCAATAAAAATATGTTTCCTGTATGTGTGTATAGAATGTGTGTGTAATATGTGTATAGTAAAGTGATTCCAGTATGTTTTAGTGCAATTTTTAAGATGATGATTGTCAGGATCATTTTATAAATCAGTTATTTTGGCCAGGGTAATGGTGACATGAAATTTTCATTATCAACTCATGCCTAGTTTTTAGATTCACAAGATCTGTGTGAAATTTGAACACAACTCAAATTATCTTAGTTCACTGTTTACTTATGTTGCATGCTGAATACATGCATTGTGCTGTCAGAACTGTATATACAATTATTTCATTTTTGTGTTATATTAAAATAAATAGAATAACTTTGTTTGTGCCTGTAAACTCTTTCTATAGGTCATGTAATTCCTCCTGAGAACATTCTCCCCCTCGTGTTGTGCAGCGGTCCATCTGGTCAGGAGCTGGATTTCACTTTCCAAAACAGAGACTCTCCACGCATGGTAACACACACAATTTTAAGAAGTTCTTGCTGTGATATTGTTGAGTATAGCTGCAGTGTTTACACCAGTACTACAGCAAATTTGTGCTTGTTGACAGATGGACGAGACGGGGCGCATTCTCTCCAACATCTGTAACGTTGTCCCAGGCGGGGTTGTCTGCTTCTTCCCTTCTTATGAGTACTCGAGACGGATCATCTCTCACTGGGAGGCCAGCGGTGCGCTGACTCGTCTGGCTAACAAGAAGAAGGTACATCACCCTAGAAAGCTGCCTTTATCTGGCCATAAAGGGATAGTTTGGATTTTTGAAGTGAGGTTGTATGAGGTGCTGATTCATAGTCAGTGTATTACCTACAGTAGGTGGAGGTCGAAGCCGACTCCTTTGACAAAACCGGTGCGTTTATCTTGCAAGACATGAGAGCTGCTGGTCTTCCGCTGCCGTGATTGGTTAGTTTGTTTTTTGTAAGTGTGTGACTTTGGTGTTTCAAAGGGTCACTTAGGATTTACCAGTCACACAATAACAAACAAACTAACAGATCAAGGCAGCGGTAGGTCAGCAGCTCCTGTGTCATGTGAGGTAAAATTACTATTTTCGTTAATAGGGTCTGGTGGCTTTGAAGAGAGCAGAGATAAATGCTTCAGTTTCCCATCTGAAATCACTGTCTGATGGCAAAGTAAAGCTGTCAATTTTTTAAAAAAAAAATATAGCGCAGTCTTAAACTGATTGATTTTGTAGAACTAAAGAAGCCTCTTGGATGAGAGGTGAAACATCCTCGAGAAACTCAAGCAAGTCCAGTTGCCTGCAATACCATCATCTGGATGACTGAGAATCTTCACCAACACATTCAGTGCACTGTGGCTGATTTAGTTAACCTAGAGATAATGTGAAGAATTTTTTTCCCCCATCGACCGATTGATAGGTTGAAAAGTAGTCAGAATATCAGTCAACCAAGACTTTCTATGTTTGATACAGCTCTACTATGGTGAAGTTCCTCATACAACCCCACTTAAAAAAAATCTGAACTTTTCCTTTATCAAAGGGGGGCACACTATTTTAGGTGCATCACTCTCAAAGTGAATTTTACAGACAGTCTCTAAGCTATCACAGTTACTTTCTCAGATCTTCCAGGAGCCAAAGAAAGCCAACCAGGTTGAGCAGGTGCTGAGCGAGTTCTCCCGCTGTATCCAGGTAAGACTATCACTGCTCAAACAGCAGCCCTCATCACCAGCATTGCTAATACATTCATAAAAATTGCCTCTACGATTGACATGCATGTTACAATTTTCCTTTTGTTAGAGGAGTGCTGTGGACAGCAGCGGGCTCACAGGAGCGCTGCTGTTCTCTGTAGTCGGAGGAAAGATGAGCGAGGGCATCAACTTCTCCGATGACTTGGGCAGGTGTGTGTAATTTGGAAGCACATCGACAGCTGGCAGTCGCATACTTTATAAAGAATACTACTACTAAATGCTCTTCTCATTTTGCATGTGATGACAGGTGTGTGGTGATGGTGGGGATGCCCTATCCTAACATCAAATCCCCAGAGCTACAGGAGAAGATGTCCTATCTGGACAAACACCTGGTGAGACTCTTAACAGTCCTATTAGTTTTCAGTGTATCCACAAACCTGACGGAACAAACAGAAGGTCATAGGAGTGCTGAGATGAAGCTCTCATCATCATTTTGTTTTTCAGCCTCACAGTGGAGGGAGGAGTCCTGGCCAAGCACTGATAGAAAACCTGTGCATGAAGGCTGTCAATCAATCCATAGGTAACCATACTATCTTTTTAATTGGTTGAAATTTGATGTCATCAATATTGCACGATCAGCACTGATATGTATTTGACTTCATCTGCCCAAAGGAAGAGCTATCCGTCACCGTGGCGACTATTCCTCCATTGTGCTGTGTGACAGACGTTACTCTCGACCTGCGACGCTCGCTAAACTTCCCACGTGGATCAAAGATCGCACGAGCGCACACACGACTTTTGGCCCGGCTTTTGCTGCCTTACGGAAGGTGAGACGCAAGTACGCACACTTATGTATCCACACTTTAACTATTGTGTCATGACTAAGATGTATGTGTTTGTTTTCTGTATGTTCTTCTTTCCTAGTTCTTTCAGGAGAAGAAGCAGAAGCAGGTGTAGTGTCACTTACACCGGACATTTCCAAGACCGAGGTTAAGAAGAACCCAGTGCAACAGTGGTCGTGAGCATTTGAAGTCGTCAGACCTCTGAGTTCTCCTGGCTGGAATTCAAGGGTCAGCCAGGGATCGTACTTTTATTTTATGTTCCAGATGTTTCATAAGTTGCCTATTTCCTTTTGGCTTGCTAGCATCTCTGGTGTAGAGGTGAAGATGAATAACACTGCAGACAAAGGCCATTTATCACATTAACTCAGGTGTATCTGTCCTGCAGTGTTTTTGATTTCAGTCTGGAACAAGTTGGATATTTTTTTAATTGAGTATATTGAAATGAATTACTGAAGCAGCTCCTACACAGAGAGCAGGCACAGTTCCGGCTTAGGAATCCATGTGACTGATTTACCCTTGAAGAAGATATTAAATATTTAAAGAATTCCATGTTAGGTGTTATGTAATGGGAAAATTACTTTTATTTAATGGAAAGATGTTACTGAAATGCTTCTATGATTTCAGAGACTGTTCTAATAATATCTGTTTAGTTTAATTTTATGAAAATATGCTTTACTGTTATCAATAAATTGCTTTATTATTTGAGTTTTAGTGGTGTTTTGTTGAACTGGTTACACGAATCAGTGCACTTATCATTAGGAATTATTGGCCACTTTAGAGTGTCTGTTAGCAAGAGAACCTATCACTTTTACAATGTTGTTAAGTGATCAGATGAAAATGTAAGTCCTTTGTACACAAAATTATCCCAGACTATTGATTGCTTTCATTATCAGCGCTTTAAGTGTTCATTGTCCTTCATGTTATGCTTCCCAATCATCGTCATCTGTTGCCGCATGTGGGGCAGGAAGTGGTGGGATGGCATCTGACATCCTGGCAAATGCGCCGCCAGTACCAGCTGGAGCCTCGCTAGACTCCCCACCAGCTGGACCCTTACCAGATATGCCTGCAGAGAGAACAGGACACATTATTTAAATGTACACAGCTCCAACCACCATCATTTTTAACCTTGTTTCACATAAAAAGTATTCCTCACCTTTCCTTCGCATGGCAAGTTTATTGAAGAGATCAGACATAAAGTCTCCGCCGCTGGATGCCGCTCCCACTGCTGTGAGACAAAGACAGGAAGTTACTGAATAATCATGCAATCAGTATTTTTTTTTTTTTTAATTAGTATTTGGAGCAGCGAAGCCGTTTCACTCATTCCCCAGTGCTGTGCTTCAAAGTGGAGCGCATAATTACAACAAAACTTGTTATCAAGTTAGTCGGTATAAGCAGCTCTCTCTAAATATGAAATGTTAGGTCATGCCCTGGCCAGCCAACCAGAAATGAAGGCAAACATACGCCCTCTGATGTCAGGTCAGACCATTAACAATACGCCAAGTTAACCTTTTTAATGGGGTTGCCATTTCTAAAGCAAAGGTCACAAAGCCACGAACTTTAATATAACCATATGATAAACCACATCTTCACTCAAACAATCCGACACCTTGCTCTTGCTCCTTCTGTTTCTTCTTCTCCATCTTGCGCTCTTTGACGTTGCGTAACTTGGCTTTGCCGATGCCTCCGGCGTTGCGGATGGACTCCAGGAGACTGGCGCGGCCGTCTGATGGCTCGACTACCTCGCTGGGAGCACCAGACACAGGGCCTGCAGACAGAAGAGACAGTCACCGGTGGCAGTGGTAATTTGGGTTTTGAGCACATTAATGTCAACAAGGACAATCTATTTCAAGAGTGAGTGAACAGGGTTTCTCAGTGTGTGTGTGAAGGAGGAGCAGGTTTTCACCACTTTAATACACTGTCCAGCTCGATCATACTCCTCCAAGTCTGTAGTGTGGAGCCACTACTAGATCTCTGAGTTGTTTGCATGCAACAAGCAGGCATGGAGCCAGATGTTGTAAACATTCGAGGCTCAGCCCAAACCCAAGAGGGTCCGGGGGCAAACTTCCATATTTTCCCATTTACAGCAGCACAGTTTTTCAAGCTATTTGAGAGGACAGAATGCTTAAAATCTGTACACTTTTTGGAAAAAACATGATAGTTGCCAAGGGAAATCTCCAACCTATTTTGTATCTAATTGTTCTCCAATGGTCTTCATCATTCTGCAACCATAACACAAATGTTGAGGATGACTAAATTCCACTCCTGGCTCCTAAAGAGGCAAAAATTGTCTGATGCTACTATTTTTAAGTTGCAGAACATAGGTAGGGCAGGAGCCCTACTTCTGTTATACTAGAGATCACAGCTTAACGATCCCCAACAATGCCAAGTAAATGCGGTCTGCAATACTCTGAACTGAATATCAGGACAACAGAAAAACATTAACTCAAGTTAGATTTCTTCAGGGAATACCATAAATTTGGGGCTTTTGAGAAAATATTTAGGACATTTTGGAGCCCTTGTGACAAACCTGAACTTGGTGCTCGAGAGACTTCTGTGGGGCCGTCGACAGGAGGCGGTGGCGGAGGAGGGGGAGGAGGGGGAGCTCCTGCAGGAATGGCGGGAGTGAGGGCGGGCTCAGGAGGAGGAGGGGGTGGGGGAGGAGGTGGCGGAGGCGCAGCATTAGATTGGAGCTGAAATCCTGAAAGAGAAATAAATAAAAAAAAAAAAAAAGTCATCAGATTATAAACCCAGCATCGACCCAAACTACAATGAGAAACTAAGAGGTGTGTGTCTGTGTGTGGGCACCTTGTGCATTGCTCTCCTCAGCGAAGGAGGGCAGATCAGGGATGTTGTGTGTGGGTCCTGATGGGGCAAAGCCAGGCCCCAGGTCTGCGCTGTAGGACAGGTCATCTGCGATGCCTGGCAGGTCAGGCAGGTAGGATGGCACATCTATCTCGGGCACCTGGCCCAGGTCTGGCACGTAGAAGTAAGACTCTGCCGTCTGTTTGAGAGAAAAGATCAGAGACAGCATTAATCATCAAATGTATCATTACTAATCCTACATATAAAACAGTCTAATTAACAATGTCTTCTCTTTGGAAAATGGTATGTGAGGTACCTGTCTCTCCAGTTGCTCTCTCTTCGTGATGGACAATGGTGCGTCAAACGGTTTCTCCTCTTTCTCTGTCTCTAGTGTTGTGTGTGTTTTTGTCACAGCTCCCGCCAGAGGATCAAGGAACACATACTTCTTATATCTTTAAAAGCACACAAATCCAGACATATGAAGAACGGATTGAAATCAAATCTGTTCTTACAGTTAGTATCTGTCTACTTGTGTGTGTGTGTGTGTGTGTGTGTGTGTGTGTGTGTGTGTGTGTGTGTGTGGACGCACAAGTTCTCTGTAGTATTAAAGAGCAACAGGGAGCTGACAGATGAGATGTTGCGCGGCAGACTTCCCAGCCCCTCCTCTGTCTCATCCTCAGACCTCTTCTTCTTGCTCACACACACAGGGAAATACATCAGCTTCTCCTGAAAGGACGACATAGAGACATAGAGTGAGAGGCAGATTTGTGAAATGTCAACTAAATCTTCTGGAATAACGCAAATCACAAATGCCACCAAAGTGCCCCTGCGCACAGATGCATGCGCGCCCACACTACAAAACCGAATTATATGGCTGGGGACATTGCTTCTGGGGGGATACTGAATAATACATTTCTGCACCAGAGAAAATTGCCAGCAGTGTTTTCATTTCTCCCTCCTCACCCTCTCTGACAAATACGCACAGATACACACACGCAAAAAAAAAACAACACATTGCAAGACCAAGCAGACGCAGCAGAAAATATGCTGGTTTTCTTAAAGCTTCCTAAGATGGTAATGGAAAAACTGTGGTGTTCACTTTAAATAATGCAGGAGCCTGTGCTGAGCCGTGCACACACAGACACAGACACTAGACCACTTCGGAAACATTATCACACGTTGCATTTTTATACTTCTATGTTGCTGTTTTTTACCATCTAATCAAGTATAAGAAAAAAGAATATGAAAAAAATATGCCGCTAATATAAAGCTGATCTGATGTGCTCTCCTCTGTCATATCTTTAGACCTGTAGAATAACCCAAACAGGTCTGATGAATATTCCATCCAAAAAAGCCCAGACGTTTCAGTTCAAATGCCATGAAGCCCATTACAGCCAGTGTAATGTTTCATTAAGTGGTTGTCAGTTTGTTATTTAACTGTGAAAAATTAAAACCGACGTGGATGAAAGCTTATCAGTGCTGGTTGAGCGATAAATGATTTTTTAACATGGGTGCTGCTAATCATGAAAAAGCAGCTGTTTGTGTGGGGAAAAAAGTATTAGTTAGCACAACAACAAAATAGCAGAAATATGTGGCATCCAATTTGCCATGCAGATAGTAGCACATGAATGTGAAGCATACTTTATAACAGGCTTGTGTCATATTTGTATCACTAGAAATTAGGGGTGGGAATCACCAGGGGCTCCACGATACAATATTAGTGCGATTTTAAACGTGTTGCGATAGGTATTGCGATAAAATGTGTAGCGATATATTGCAATTTATTACCTGTTTTCAACTGCAAATAACATCCCCAAAGGGAACCTTTGTCAACATCTGTTTTATCTAATAAGAAATCTCATTTCAGTGTTTTTCTTGCAGCAAAACTAATGTAGTGGACTGAAAAAGCAGCCGATATATTATTCAAGTGGGCTACCCAAAGTTTAATTTGTATTTATAATATTTATAAGTTACATAACAATAGGTGGTGTGGTGGTTAGCACTCTCGCCTCACAGCAAGAGGGTTGCCGGTTCGATCCCGGGCGTGGGAGCCCTTCTGTGAGGAGTTTGCATGTTCTCCCAATGTCAGCGTGGGATCTCACCGGGCACTCCGGCTTCCTCCCACAGTCCAAAGACATGCAGATTGGGGACTAGGTTAATTGGTAACTCTAAATTGTCCGTAGGTGTGAATGTGAGCATGAATGGTTGTTTGTCACTATGTGTCAGCCCTGTGATAGTCTGGCGACCTGTCCAGGGTGTACCCTGCCTCTCGCCCGATGTCAGCTGGGATAGGCTCCAGCCCCCCCGCGACCCTCAAGAGGATGAAGCGGTTAGAAGATGAAGATATATAACAATAAAAAAAAAAAAAAATACTTGGCACTGTGTGACGATACGATACTGCCACACAAAAATATCGCGATACTTTGCTGCATCGATTTTTTTTCCCCATCCCTACTAGAAATGTTTATCCATCCATACCAGATAAAATAAAATAATTAATTGAAACACGTGTCAATGATTTTTGTCCCCCAGCAATATCTTTATTAATTTTCCTTATAAGAACTGGGCAGCAACTGTGTTCTCATCCCAAAGGATATCGAAAGCACACAGAGTAGTGTCCAA